ATTAAAAAATAAGTTAAAAAATTTTGTTTGCTTGTAATATTATTTTATTAAAAAATGTACGATTAAAAATAAGAGAAAATATATATTTTAAAAATAATGGGAACCAAACACAGTTTAATGTGTGCAAAATGTTGTCTCGTAGTCACATTTCATGTTGAACCAGTCATCTAAAACTTTGAACATTTTAAATAGAGAAAATTACACAATTGGTTTCCCAACCTATCAATAAAGTAGCAAGGTGGTCCTCAACGTTTAAAGTAAACAATTTGCTCTTCAATCTTTCATTGTAGTTGCAAAATTAGTCTATAATGCGGAAAATCGTCTAAATCTTTATTATGCATCCCTAAAATATTTAACTTCCCGAAACTAGATTTTAATTTTAAGCTTTGACCAATGACGGAAAATGTGTTTATAAAAACAACATGTATAATTGAATAGTATTTTTCAACCCACAGTTGAAGTTCATACCTACATCACAATTTGGTGTGTGTTTCCATAGTTCCATTTGAAGATTCTTAAGAAAATGTAAAATCCAAGCTTTCTTTTGAAGACTTATAATTTGGACTGTAAATTTTCTTTATCTTGAGTTGTATTAACAATTATAAGCAACTGACACTGCCAACTGTAATTAAATATTCTTTTAATTTTAATCTTTATACAATGGAATAAGAACTTATTTACTGTTTATGGTTTGATTGGTCAAGACCCCTAGATTTTTTCAGCTTATGTCCACTTGGTTTGCATCCAGAGGAGATCTAGCTAGCTAGCTAGCTACTGGTCTATTATATCATTATTGACTCATAAATCCATTCACTTATTTCCAAAAATGTTTGAAGAAAACAAATATTCTATTTCAAACAACTTTTATACATTAAACTAAATTAAAATAAATATACATATATATATGAGGCTAATTAGCGTAGTAAGTGTTAAAATGAAAGGTTTTGCTACTTGTACATCGACACCGAAATTGACACCTCGACGTACAGCCTCCTTCACAAAGGGAGCCCACATATTTTTATTGAGTGTGGATCCCTCTTATTTGTGAGCGGGCAGTATACTTTGGTGTACAAGTAGCAAAACCCTAAAATGAAATAAAAGGGTTTAGTTTTTCTTCTTTTAATAGTTTTAAATTTGGATTGATTAGTTTGATGTGATATATCAAATCTCTCATTTATCCTAATGTATTTATAAAACTTTTATGAGCCAATTTACTTACACATAGAAGATAATATTGAAAACAAGTTTTTTTTTAAAAATAATAATAATAATATTCACTTTACATATCGTTTTTTCCTCTATGACCCAATTTTTCGGGTCAATTTTTTGAAATAGTAATTTTGTTGAATAATGTGTGATTAAAAAATATGAAAATTTTTTTTACTTGTCCAGTTTAAACACACAATTAAATAATCTTGATTAAACTAATTAATAAGGACTTTGCTGTAGGTTCAAGAATTCAAATTCATGTACCCACAGACTACACACAACATTTGGGGAGAATTTTTTTTTCAATATTTTATACATGAGGTCCACTACATGTGAGTTGGCATTTAAAAATCTGGTCCAATTCTAGTAAAAATTCCATGTGCTTGAATCATTTTCCAATTAATAATGGGAAAATCAAGACTAAAGAATTAATTATCGATGTTAATTCTTAAAAAAATATTATTTTATTTTATTATATTCTTTGAGGCTTTGTTTGAGCTCTATTTTTGTGATAGTGAATTTTTTGGGGAATGTGTAGTTAAAAAGTAAGAAAAAAAATTTGAATTTATGTATAAAATTATTTTATTGAAAGAATGTTTAATTTAAACTAAAATTGAGAAAAAATAATTTTCATATAATTGATGGACTGTCCTTTTCTCTTTCTCTTATGTCATTATTAGTTGGCCTGGGAACTTGAAATCACAAAGATCCAAATATTAGAATCATGGAATCTCCCTCCATAGAATTCCCAATCAGTAAATCTATTTGTACACGGTGATTCACCACGTACGCTGTCCAGATGTAGTGTTTGACAGCAGTGCTTTGGAC